TTATACTACTTGCTTCTTCATCCCTTGATAGCCCTGTCATATATTTCTGTCTCTCTTCCCTCAGGTTATCGCTACATCACTTGCCAGATTCACAATTGCTCTGATAAGACAATGACAGTCCAGTTTGCTGGTGGCACTGATCGGGATTCCCTGACTGTGCAGGATGACTACATATTTCTTCAGGTACTGCCACTTCCTGGAGACACAGCGCATTTTCAAATTCAAAATTGAAATTTTATATAGTGCAGCTATGCTGTAATTTAGTAGCATGGAGAAACCTGTTCCAGAGTATAAATGATGATTGATTAATTTTTACATGGAACAAAGCATTCCCTCATCACTCAGAAAACCCAAGGCATCTTTAATTTGTGCAACCATTTGCCTATTTATACGATTGATTTTATCACTGACCTAGCTTTAACTATATGAAAATTTTCAAGTGTGGTTCAAAGTTACTTATTGTAAATATGCTTGTGTTTTAGGCAAAACTCAAGCCTTTTGTTCTTAAGCTTGCAAGCTCTTCTGGGTCCTTTCCAGGACTTCCATAGTACAAAGTTCTCAGAGAAAAGCATCCAAAGAAAGCCACTGAGAGAATAGCTTCTTCTTACGGATTGATTTTGCCGGGGAAAAAACTTACATGGGTGTGCTCAGGAAGCAAAAGAGAGAAATGGCCATGATGGGATGCTTGGAGCAACTTAGGATAGAATCATAGAATCATTAGGTGGAAAAGACTCTTAAGATCATCGAGTCCAACTGTAAACCGAACACTGTTAAGTCCACCACTAAACCATGTCCCTGAACACCATGTCTATAACTTGTGATGGTCCAAATTACACTGGGGTTATTTCATTCCCAAACTGCAAGACCTGCATGCAGAAACCTGGGCTGGAACTCCACCAGCCTTATGGCACCAGCACAGCTCAGGCACACTTGAGAATTTTGGTGTATGTGCTTGGGACTCATGATTTGAATCTATTAGAGACACAAACTTCTCGAAGAACAGTTATGTTCTCTCTGGTTTTTAAGATTTTATAAAGGAAGTTGCTTGTACTTTCCTTAGTGGCTGGCTCTCATTTTTTCCTTATTTTGGTATGATTTTCTTGTTGCAAGGCTCATCTACTTACTGACTTTTGCAGGAAAGCACTATCATGGCAAAGGATAGGTCTTCCCACCATTGCCTTGGGTGTACTAAGATTGACGTCTTTGCACCTTACCCCCCTTGTGGCTGTTTCTTCTAAAAGGATGTGTAAATTAATAGAAACACAAAATATCTGTCTTCCTCTTGTTTGGCACAGAAGTTTCCAGGGCCCACATGACTTAGAACATTCAGCACCACAAAGAAACAGAAAAATGGACTTGAAAAATATTTTTTTAATAGAAATAGGCATTTTTCAGCCCAGGTCTAGCACTCGTGGGACTTGTTTTGCTCAAAGGTTGTTGTATTTGTGGCTCCCCCCAGGCACACTGTAAAATCCATTTCACGGTGTGTAGATGGTGCGAAGTGCTTCTCACCATGTGAACTTCCCATGTGAACTTCTGTGCTCCCCAGAATGCTGGCTGCTTCCTCTTCAAGTATTTGTTTTGCCAGATGCCTTGTATAACTGCACCTCGAGCTATTGTTATTCTATCTCATGCCAGACATGGGCAGACACAAAATGGAAGTTCAACCTGGAAAGGTACACATAAAGTAATAGCTAGTTGCTACTAGTAAAATGTTGCCATTATTAATGTAGTCTCCATAGATCTGAGACATGTCAATGCCGGTAGAGGAGGTGTGCATGTATTCCACATAAAGGGGAAATACCTCTGGTCTTTTTCTTTCAGACATACCTGTAGTATGTAATGTAAATCACATTGTTAAATTGGTTTACAGTTCGCCATATCTATGTTACTGGAAGACAGAAGATAACTCTAGGGTACTATAGTCACATCTGAAGCGCAGCCACCCCTGAGGTGTGATGCCAGGACCCTATTTGTCTGTTCCAGTGAAACCACACAGCAGCACAGCAGCTGCACATCTGAGAAACAGCACACTTCTGAAATCATTGGAAATTCTCTTATCACTGCACTAAAATATTGCTATATAAGTTAGAATATTGCTTTATAAGTTAGAATCAGACTAGGGACTTCTCTTAATATCACAGCAATATCTGTCAGAAGATGGAACAGAATCATCCGTGAAAGAGAGAGCAGAGTTTGAGACTCTTATTGTCCCTGACATTGCTCACATCCCCCGAGCTGTGCAGCTGTGAATTAGTGCTGCAGGTATGCATTGCTAATCCTCGTCCAAATCTCAGACTTTCATGATCTTAAAGGAAGATCTCAACCCCATTTCTTTAGTGTGTCTTTACCCATGAAGATCGGGAACTTTTTAATACTCATTTCCAGTTTGCACTGACAGTTGGACAGCTTCAGAGGTGATTTCAG